TGGAGACAATCGCGATTTTCACATAACATAACACAACTTTAGAAATTAGAAGACGAGCAACTAACAACCTGTATATTCGACGGTCATCATTATGAAATAAATTATGCTTCATCCACAGAATACAAGGCCATCCTTCTTATTATGATTAGCATCAAGAAGCAAATGAGTGTAAGGTACTCTTGTCTTCAAAAGACGCTCATTCTTTGCATTTTGTACGGTGTCGAAACTACAGTATGGGTCTTATTCATTTGGCATGACACTTCAGTAGCTTTTTCCTTACTAACATCCAGGTTACAAATTCTCGTTGTTATTAATCCTCCTACACACATCTGGATTGCATATTCTGAGATGTATCACTGACGGCGATTAACTCATCATATGCTATGTTATCAGGACCAGTGTATTGCTTCTAGGTTACTTTGTAATTTAACAAGCAAAATTTTTTAATTTTGCTTAAACTATATAGAAGACATACTTCATGAATGACATAAAGACAGAACATAGAGATGCCTATCATTCTCGATAACTAACTGAGCTACCACCATGACGTGACCAAGTCACAATGGTACATTGATCCCAAAGTTTTATTTGGAAGCTCGTCCCTATCTTCAAACTACGCTAAAACTGTGGGATATAACAACCTATACACAGGGTTGCTGTTTGATACGATAAAATACTGACTTTTATTACAGATGCATCAAGTTGATGCAGTTACCTTACATATTATCATCAGTGCAAAGGAAGCAATGGAATATTATCCCTAAGTCAGACATTTTAGGATCAGGTGAGTCTGCTTTCGGGTCACGGAGTCAGACTAACCAGAATGATGTATTGCAACTTATCCTTGAAGCCCCTTATATTGGTAAGTAGAATAACTTCAGATATGTCCTGGATAATTCTGAGTTAAGTATTATTACAAATTCCAGTTGAATAAATCTCATTCATTGCCAGCTTTTGAAGAGTGTCCAAGTGAGGACTGTATACTGACCAACTGCTTACTGTCTGTAGATGTACATATTTCCAGTGCAAGTAAATCACCGTTTCATTTGGTTTTGAAATTTGCGTGAAATGGTTGCATATTGCATAAGTGTTTTATCGTCTATGAAGAAGCAGCATCTCTGGAATAAATGAATGGTTTCAGTAGTTAATTCACTTCAAACCTTTCGATATCTTGTCGAACTCGTTATTCTTGCACTGCTTACAGTAGTTTTCTGACCAATATTCGTTGAAAGAGAGAGGCTTGGATAATTACTCGGTCATAATATTTAACCACCTACTATACAGAATTCAAAAACTTTTGAAAATCCAAACTTTCAAGGTAGCCAAGTGACGAGTAAAACTAAATGAACACAGAAGTTGAATAGCGGTTATTTTGTTTAAGGAAATGATAGCAGTTGAAAAATATATACTATTGAATGCTGAGCCATGGGCTAAACGAATGCATGTTCATCACTGAGATACCTTATTATTCATTGCTCAAACCCCTACAGATAACTTGACACGCTATTGATGAGTTCATAATTAAAACGAAACACCTGAATATTCAGTGAAAGCCAACTTTAATGGTTTTTCGAATGGCTCAAATCTCCGGTGATAACTACCATGAAAATCTGTAAATATTAAACTGTAGGAAGTCTGAAATATCAGATCACTTAAATACTCACCCCGATTGTAAGTGCTTACCGTGTTATAGGAGTTACCTTGTTCTTATTTTAGACGACATAATCAAACGAAGTGACTATTTAGTCCTAATGGGCCTTTTAATTTTAGTGTATAGGTATGTTGTTCAACTTAAAGTCTAATTTGTTTGGTAACTTCTAGTCAATCCTTCTCAGTCACTGCTATTATTAGTAGGGAATACAGATCTGAAGTTATTTACCTTGAGTCAACAGGGTTCATAAGATTTTGATCCCGATGAAACTGGTACCAAAATTTGTAAATCAAAAAGGAAATCGATCAACAAATTCATCTTTTAATCAGACTCTTTGGCGTGTATACATTACCCAGTTACGTAAAGTGATTATTCTTGTCAAATAATATTCTCGTCTTCTGAGTACCAGTTGATAAGCAATAAATTGAGTGTACTGAATCCCCAAATTCCACCGCTAACCACCAACAAGCAAATTACAATGAATGAGGGTCATTTTATGATTACCTATTCCACTCGATTAGCACCTTTACATATGTTCGGACTAAGCATTCTCAGACAAAAAATCATCAACATCTATTTTCAATGCCAATTTCAGTTTTTTTAACTACTACAATCATTTTTTGCGATCAGATTCGAATCTAACCTACCTATAAGAGTTGTGAGTTATTAAGAATTTAAAGTGAGAGTTGATCTTCTGAAACGATTATAATGAAATAATAATATAATCATGTAGGTGTTTCTATCTTTTATCGCTGGAAAAGTAATTCTGAAAGTTTCCAATTGAAAAATACTTTTATCAGCAACTCAGTGTTGCTCATAGCTTAACTTGAAGGTAAATTGGTCAGATTGACATGCATCCAAATAAAGTATCCTGACAGGAATTCAAAATACAACTAAAGAAACTGATTCATAGAAATGGCTTCATTCAATAGTAGCTAAGACTCTAGTAGGGTATTTACCAGTGAATAAACTATTACTTCAATTGAGATAAGCTTCGACTTAGGTTCAACAAATTCATGGCATGAACATCAGTAAACCAGAGACTTCTACAGTTTATTGTGCATAAGATTCTGGAAATCAAATATTATACAAAGGTAAACAAGATCTCACTGCATGAAATGCTGTTCAGCAAAAAACACAGCAGACATGATTTTCGTCTGTGTGACTGGAAGTTCCTCGATTCGAAAACATTCGTAACTAGTGACTTTTCTTAGCTGGCATAACTACGATCAGCATTTGCTGAGATGAAAATTCACAAATCTACTGAATATGGAAGAATATCCCACGAAATTAGCTTGTAATGTGCATGCAAAAAAATTGTGAAACGGGACTGTTCGTGTTCTGATTACATTTTGTTAAATGATGCCAGGTATTTAGAATTGCTGTTACATTCATGAATTTAACAGGCTCATTAGTTAGACCGACTAGGGAATAGTCTTTCCTTGTCGATTTGCTTTGATGATTGGAAAGTCTTCACAATTGATAGGTTGGGAGATGTGGAGCATTTCTTGACCATTGTATCCTTCAGACCGTAATTCATTGTGTTTCTTCCTATGATTGTGTGTGGAAACCAGGCAAACGTCGATATTTGGAAGGATTTCGAATGAAAAGAAGTGACATGATGACTTGTGTTCCTGAGAAATCTGAAGATTACGGAATTCTGCTACGATGTTGATTTTTCTTTCACCTCCGATCAACACCTTGCATCTGTAATTTGGATCGGCTAAACCACGGGCATCACAAATAGTCACACTGATTTCAAAATAGTATTAATTTCTGTATGGGTAATGATGACTGATATGATGAAAATAACATGGTCACACAAAACAAACGAGTTTATATCCTTTCTAATCCTTTCATCATATACATGAATGAGTCTACTAGTGCTTTAAATTGGGCGCCAAATTTACAGACAATATACACTGTCACTTCAAACAAACAATTGTTAATTAGCTAAATGATACACTTTCAAGTATGGACTTCCTTCTCTGATGAATGCAACTGAACAATCAGATGTGGGTATTTACACCAAAAGTGAAATACGCATATTTCATGAAGGCTAGTCATACTGCCTGGTTGGATATTTCTGTGTGAACAGGCGGAAAGGGGTTGGAATCTGTAACTAACTGGTTGCATACTCATGCACAATAACACTCTTGAACAGTCATGGGAAAACCTGCTCTCATTCACAAAACCTGATTTCCACCAACTGCCTGGTGGTCATACATAACATGAGATGAAATTGCCACATTTCTTGAAGATGGAGTTCTGTTTCGAAATACTCGTCTATAAATGTTAGTTAGTCAGCGAAGTTTTTCATCTTGTTTAGCCTTTTCGACTATCCAGCTTCGCCTACATCGACCTCTTAAGATATCATGAAATAAACCTTCCTTATTTTGAAAACGAACTCTTGGCTGATCATGATTTAATTCACTGTTCATTATTTTCTTCATGTTTGCTTGTAAACATGGTATCAACCGGTTATTGTCCTAGGCGTTGTTGTAATTTTGAACCACATCAGCCAAATGCCGATAAAGAACTAGGAACCTTTTGACAACTGATTTCTCTGTCTTTGAGGCTTTTCACTCGTCAACAAACACAAGACTATGGTGGATAGAAGATATGATCGTTAGATCTTGCGTCGGTCGCGTTATCATTCAACCATTTTGTTGAATTCAATAGGGTACGTTTTGCGATCACCAAAGGTCTGTGTGAAGGCGACTGAATCCGGAGTATTCTTCAGGCACTGACATCTGGGAATCTTAATACTTACATGTCTCATGTCCATCCGTAGTGAATACCCTAAAATCAGTCAGCTACACACGACCATTGCAGCTTGATGTCAAACCAACTTACCTCAGAAATTAAAAGACTGAGCATGACCAATATGCAAAGAGAGTCTGTTGAAAGGATATTTTACACAATCGTCAACGCTATGTCTACCGGAAAGAAAGTCTTCATATCTGAACCCTGAGACGTTGAAGATGCTGAAGACATTACTTAGCTGCCAACCCACAACACTGTTGGATAATCTGGTTCAACTGGAGGCAAAAATCATTCATACACCTTATAACTTGACGTGTCCAGACAAGCTGACATGTTCAAAATGACATTAGACTTTGCGAAGATTGCAGAATGCTGTCTAAAATTTCATTCAGTACTTGACATTAGCATAGTTTGTGATAGAACATTCCAGAATCCACTGACAAAAATGACGGATTGTGGACGATCTAGGTGAGCTTCCTCTTCTGTGAGTACGATAGACTTAATGCTTGCCCTAATCGAAAAATAGATCAGAAAATATCAACATCCTTCGAAGTTATCCTGAATTTGTTTGTAATTCCAAACATAAAACAGTGGAGCAAACAAATTTGTGCACTTACGTGAATGATATAATGATTTTCAATCAATGTTTACATACTCTTGTAAATATTAGGTCAGCGATCGTAAGTACTGTGTCATTTGTTATCTTGTGACCGGTGTACCCGACTGGGTGACAGAAGTGAACTATCCTATCATGAATTGCCTGATTCATAGTGATCGGAAGGTGGCAAACTTCAGGACTAACCAACCGTTTGAATATCAGAAGACAGAACTGTAAGTCACCTGGCTGTGTATATATGTTAACCAATCACATCCACACTGAAGAATATTAGTAAAACAAAGTAGTCACTTACAGCATGTGCAGGAGATACAACAGGAATGAAATCAGTTATCATCAAGCCTTCATATAACAAAGAGTCAATCAAGGGAAATGTAAAGATGAGTAAGCAACCATTGTTTGTTTGTATGCAATTCAGTTCCGTTCATCACAAAATATTCTGGTTATCGTGTATGCATATGTGAGTTTGACACATGACAAAAGACCATCACCACTGTTTTCATGAGAACAGTGAGAGTGGAAAATCAAAGATGTATCCATAATTCTCTGAGAATGAGAACAACGCATACCATGATTGCACACTGAAACAAATACAATAAGAAGAATAGGATTATATGATATCAGGTATCATCAGTGCAAACTAATGATGAGGTAAAAGAACTTCTGGTGGTTGTTAACTAACGTGAATTGTCTGATCAGCATTTCGGCTGTTAAGCACAAATTCAGACAATCCAATGAGTTTCACCATAAATGGTAGACGTGGTTAGTAAGTCAGATGAAGTCAGAGAAGAAGTTGGTCATCGATTGGATTCGATGTTCGGCAATAATAGAGCGATGATTGATTAATCCAGTCACTAGCCTATAGTGGAATCTTAGCAGAAATATGTGAGGAGTTGTTGGTGTAGTTTGTGACAGTTGGAAATAGATGTCAATGCCTCAGAAACTGACTCTTTCTGTAGTCAGCATGTATTCCCATAACACTGATCGGTCAATCAAGACATAGCAAGGGATTAGTCTGGGACGAAGAGTAGTGGTTCTACAGGGTGTCATGGGTGTTATTATGTTCCAATGGATGGTGCGTCATCTTCATTTCGGTTATGGGTTCTCAGAACTCAAAATTCTCAGAGATATGCAAAAGGTGATCACCAGGGATTAAGTGCTGTGTCAAAACGTTTATAGAAAGAACAAAACGGATGTTCTCTTACTTTGAACTGTTCCAATTTGAGGACAAGACAGTTGATTATTGTGAGTGATCTAAACAGTTTGAAGCGTTATGCATTTAAATTATTTTACATATCTTGATTCATAAAATAGAAGCTTTTGACCATTGAAAATATTGAAAGTTAAGTGAACTTCAGTAATTGATCAAATCATGATATTTGGTGGAAGGGATGAGTGATTTTTAAGGCCATTCTGGAAACTGGTGAAACAACCAATTACATTCTTTTCTTTTATGAAAAGTACTTTTCCAGGCGAAACACTGAAGCCTGATTGGTCATTCCAACAGATTTTAGGGTGGCTTTTAGAGTCTCCTGGAAGGGATAAATTCTCTCCACCTTCATTGTAATGATTAACTCATGATTTATCTGTTTTCTGGCAAACAAAATTCATGATTCATCTGATTGGCCTAAACACAATCAGTCACAGTCTTGTCTTTGATACCTGAATGTCTGTCACTCTGTGGAATTGACATTGAAATGGTTATAGACGACCTATCAGAGTACAACACGAATTATTTCACCTTCTTCTGATTACTGTATCTGATATACCGTAGAGATTTGTGCTCACAGGATTTTATGGATGTTGAATAACTGAAAGAGGGTAATAAAATGGAAGCTGACAATCTCATTTATCAGTCTGTTAGACTGATGCCTTGTGTCACAGATGTTTGATTTACGCTGTTGTGCAGTCAGAATAATCTCACTGAACAGTTAGATTCCAATCAGGATGAATTAACTGACCATTTCCAAAGTGCCTTGTAATGTGTGTCAAAGCCACACATATGTTAATGTAAATGCGTTGTATTTCCGTGACGTTCAGTAAAGCATAAAATTTCTGGTGACTATTTGTTATTTAGGAATGGTTCTCACATTTCAGTGTAGTATTTGGAGTCAAAATTCTACCTCAACGTTATCGACTTTGAGAAGGCCTTTGACAGCGTCGACCGACAAGTAATTTGGAAGCTGCTTCAACACTACGGAATACCACAAACATTTATCAACCTCATTCAACAACTATATAATGACACCACATGCCAGCCAAGTAATTCACAATGGGAAGCTCAGTGACACCTTTGAAGTGAAGTGAAGTGAAGTCAAGAGTGAGGAAAGGCTTTCTCCCATCACCTATGATATTCCTGATTGTAATGGACTGGATCATGCAGCAAACAGTGGGTAGTGAGAAGAGGGTGATATGCTGACTGGACCGGGGAAGAGAACCTAACAGATTTGTATTTCGCCGATGACTTGTGTCTAATGTCAACCAAAAGTGAATATCTTCAGGCGAAAACTAACAAGTTGGCAAAAGCGAGAGCGAAGATGGGACTTCAAGTGAATATAGAGAAGACAAAGGTGATGAAGTTACCGCACCACCAACAACAACAAGCTTCAATCACCATCAACGGGAGAAACTTAAACGTAGTAGCCTTTTTCACCCACATACCTAGACAGCACTATTTCAACTGCAGGCGGCACAGGCAAAGACGAGGACGTCAAAGCCAGCCAGGATTGGAAAGAGAGCAAGACAGGCGTTCATTAACCTGAAACCAGTGTGCAGATCTACTGCTCTCTACTCAGCATGAAGCGTGAACAGGATCCAGATTTTCAACACCAATGCCAGTCAAGTCAGTGCTCCTGTATGGTTCAGAGACTTGGTGCATCAAGAAAGGGATTGTCAACAAACTACAGATATTCATGAATAACTGCCTACGCTGGCTCGTTACTGAAGCTCAGATGAGAAGGCGTGAAAGAATTAGCAAAAAGGGACTCTGGTTTGGCAACGAACCAACCAAGAATCTATTGCTCAACAAATATGCTCTGGAAGGGAGTCAAGGTGGATTGAGAAGACTGGCTGGGAACATCACGCACCAAGCACTTGATTGGAATCCCGATGGGAAACGACAAGCTTGACCTCCAAGGTGAGGGTGACATAGAGGAGATGGTGTTAGGTAGAAATGAGAGCTTGTGAGCTGTCGCGGAACCAGGTTCAAAAGATTTCAGAGAAGAGAGTGGAATGGAGACGTGCTTCTGAAGCGCTTTGTTCCATTAGGAACCCAAGGGACAAATAAATAAATAATAAAATGTGGAGTTGCTGTAAAAGTACCCATCTTTCAGTCTTTTCAGCAAGTCACAATGCCCCGAAGGCAACTCAGTCGATCAGGTTTTCATTCAAGACTCAGTTACATCAAGATGCATCCAACAAACCCGAACATCGTGGAGTGTCGTTAGCATACACCTTACATTTGGCTGATGCTATTCTCTCCTTATATCGATTGAATCAATCACCCAGTTCACATCTTTGCTTATTTGACGAAAGTTTTATAAGTTCTTGTGGACTGGATTTCCAACTTTAGTATTTTCAGACTTTCAGTCGGTTTCAAAGAGTCTGCAACGACAGACACTTGTTCGTATAATCAATGTGATGAGATTACTCTTTAGAAAAAGCCAACAAACCTCATTCACTTATGTAAATGAAATGCTTACATTGATTAGTATCAAAACTATCGATGCATATGCAACAATTGCCACGTAACTGAAGGCTTTCTGTCCAAATGGTTCTTTGCAACTTTGATTATGATGCTTGTCATGAGATGAGAAATATTCATGTGGACAGTTTTTGTCAATCAACTCTAGATTATCATTCATCATACAACATGGTATTGGAGTTTCAACAGCTGAAAGAGAATTACATTCAAGTTCAATTGTAATTATTTACTTTCAGAACTAACTGGATTACAGTATAAAATGAATGAATTGCATTTCTGTGACAAACGAGATGAATGTTAAAACCAATTTTTATTTCAGTAACCTGTCCACACAGATTGTCCATCCTTCTGTCATTATTATTCTATGAATGGGATATGTTTCATTCAAGCACAACTTTCCAAGAAATTCATCGGCCAGTTGGATGAACAGAGTCAGGCTTCAGTTTCTTAATATTCTTTCGAGAATAAAACAGATAGCTTGTCTAGTTAGTAGAGTGAATTTCTCCTGTATTCATTAAAATGGAACCGTTCTGTCATGCCAATGAAACTAGTGCAGGTGATTTGGTCAATTAAGGAATCAAGTCAACACTGACTTACCTACACTTCCATTGGTTGATGAAATTTGGGACAAGATCTATCTTATGAAATAAAACATTTGAGCTGATTGATGCTCTTCACCTACACACTGTTCAGACATTGACAATGTGCATGCATTGGTGCAGACTAACTTCCTTCTCTGAAACACTACTGGGAATTCCACATTGTATATCAAATTGACAAGGAATAAACATCTCCTACTGGTAGATGACTAACCTCGCCTGGTTAACTAGTTCACTACTTACTAACCGGTCCTAAGCCCACACAGAGAGGGAAGGTTGGGCATACGGCTAGCAACTCTACCCCGTAAAACAAATCTAACCGCTAAAGAAACTTCAAAGCACAAACAAAATATTATAAAAAAAAAAATTATTCCTCACTGGAATCAACTAAACGAGGAACTGAGCACATTGTATAAAACACTGGACAAAGATGTGAAGAAGAGTGCACAGAAAGACAAAAGACACTTCTACGAAACACTGGCAAGTGAAGCAGAACAGGCTGTAGGTAAGAGAGACCTGACAACACTGTATCAAATAACCAGGTTGCTATCTGGGAGAAGATCAACTCAGACGAAACCAATAAAAGATGATGACGCAAATTTAATTTTGAAAGAAGAGCAACAAAGGAAACAATGGGCCGACAACTTCAAGAAGCTCTTGAATCCACCACCACCTGCACTTCGTACAGAAATACTACCTGCAGCCGCTGAACTACAAGTGAACATAAATCCTCCAACAAAAATGGAAGTCCTGAACGGCATAAAGCTAATGAGATGCGGGAAAGCAGCAGGATCAGATGGGATCCCACCAGAAGCACTGAGAACAGACGCAGAGACAACAGCGGACATGCTCACACCACACCACTATTGCAGAAGGTGTGGAAGGAAGGGAAGGTACCTGCCTATTGATTAGAAGAAGGGTTACCTTGTCAAACTGCCGATGAAGGGAGACCTCAGTGTTTGAAAGAACCGGCGCAAAAACAACGCTCCTATCCACTCGAAGCAAAATATTAAGCCGCATCATCCTGGAGAGACAAAAGGATGATCTGAATTCAAAACTACGACCGAAACAGGTTGGCTGGATTCAGGAATTACAAATCATGTGCCGACCAAATTGCAATGCCACTCTACGCATCATCCTAGAACAGAGTATAGAATGGCAGTCAACTCTACACCTCAACTTTATCGAATTTGAGAAGGCCTTTGACAGCGTCGACCGACAAGTAATTTGGAAACTGCTTCAATAATACGAAATACCGCAAACCTTTATCAACTTCATTCAACAACTATATGAAGACACCACATGCCAGCCAAGTAATTCACAATGAGAAGCTCAGTGATGCTTTTGAAGTGAAGTGAAGATAGGAGTAAAACAAGGTTTCCTACTATCCCCCATGATATTCTTGATTGTGGTCGACTGGACTGGATGATGCAGCAAACAGTGGGGAGCTGTGAGAAGAGGGGGATATGCTGGCTGGACAGTGGAAAAGAACCTAGAAGACTTGGATTTTGCCGATGACTTGTGCATGAAGTCACATACACTTGAAAATCTACAGGCGAAAACTAACAAGTTGGCAAAAGCGAGAGCGAAGATGGGACTTCAAGTGAATATAGAGAAGACAAAGGTGATGAAGTTACCGCACCACCAATAACAACAAACTCCAGTCACCATCAGCGGGAGAAACTTAAACGTAGTAGCCTTTTTCACCCACATACCTAGACAGAACTGTTTCAACTGCAGGCGACACAGGCAAAGACGAGGACGTCAAAGTCAGCTAGGACTGGAAAGAGAGCAAGACAGGCGTTCATTAACCTGAAACCAGTGTGAAGATCTACTCCACTGCACTCAGCATGAAGCGTGAACAGGATCCAGATTTTCAACACGGATGCCAGTCAAGTCAGTGCTCCTGTATGGTTCAGAGACTTGGCGCATTACGAAAGGGATTTCCAATGAACTACAGACATTCAACAACATCTACCTCCTACACTCACAGCATATTGAAGATCAGATGAGATGGCCAGAAAAAATAAGCAACAAGGGGCTCTGGGAACGAACCAACCAAGAACCTATCACCCAACAAATATGCAGTGGAAGAAAATGGAGATGGATTGGGCATGCACTGAGAAGGCCGACTGGGGACATCACGCGTCAGGCCAGACACTGGAGTGGAATCCCCATGGGAAGCGACGAGTTGGACGTCAGAGGTGAGGGTGACATGGAGGAGATCGTGCGAGGAGGAAATGAGAGGTTGTGGGCTGTCGTGTAGCCAGGTTGAAAAGATTTCAGAGAGCAGGGTAGAATGGAGACGTGCTAGTGAAGCCGTATGTTCCATTAGGAACCCAAGGGACTAATAATAATAATAATAATAATAATAATAATAATAATAATAATAATAATAATAATAATCCTGGTAGATGACTGCTATTCACTAATAAATTTAACCCAGTTGTTACACCAAATCATGATTTACATCTCAATCGAAAACTTACAGATAACAAGTGGGGATCTATCTGTTCAATGTCAAGGATGCTGTCAGAAAAGCAATTACTGACAAGCATGATTGAAATCTATCATGAACGAGTGTCAGTATTTATCATTCAGGTCAAGGAGATAAAATCAACGGAGATGAATCCATTCAATGTTAATTATCTTAAAGTCAACTGATATTTTACTCACTTTCATACTTATGGCCATCATATTCATCCTCCCATGACAGTTTTACATCATTGAAGTCTGCTATATGTCTGAATCCGCAGCATTTCAGCTGTTTGAATACAAAGGAAGAATAGGAGAAAGAGAAGAAATCGATGTTTACATATCTGCTAATAGACAACAAGCAAAAACATAGATGTATTCACGACAGAGTACTGTTTATCTAGAGAAGAGTGTTCACGAAGAATATGAACACATCTCGTCGTGTGTCCTCTCTCACTACTCAATGATTTCATAAATCGCACTAATCACACCCTAGATTAAGTGGTCAGTTGATGAATTCCTGTGGATTTCGGTCCATTCACATTCACCAGTAGTACAGATTCTGCTCATTTATGCTTTCTGATAAACATTTTGTATATGAGTCAACATTCCGTTTCTTCGTTAAATATACGCATTTGGTGATCAGTTGCTCCGTCTTTTGATACCTGTTCCATTGGGACTTCCATCAAGTTGTTGGTTATCTAGCATGGGTATAACTCTGTCATTTCATTGATAAGTTCGTTCAGCCAATCACTCAGTCACCATTCTTCGATATATTATTCAACATGGTTTGGTGTCATTGTCGACATAGGAATCTGAAGTGTTGTTACAAGTGGGTTATTTAGGAGACGACAAGTTGTAGTTGGACAGTTAGTTTTGCAGGTTGGCCTATATGTGATAAACTGATGCTTGTATTCCAAATGAAAAACTAGATGACATCTTTATTTGAAGCAGTCTTTAGGTCTCAGTCAAGCTAACATCAACGTCTTGTAATGACCAAGAGTCATAAGCACAATATGAAACATAAAGTGATCAGTGAAGAGTACCCAATACCATATTATCCAAATCGAATCGATCATTTTGTACAGTGGTCACCAAGACATGAAAGAAAACGTTAAGCGTGTCGGTTATTTGCAGTGAACCTTTCCAGAACCAAAATATTGTTAGGTTTCAAACAACAACAACAACACACGTCCTTAAAGTACCTAGATATTATCTCAGTGATCTCAGTGTGTAGGCATCCACCAGCGGACTACCATTATTTTGAGTCAACCTTGCGCTGAATAACCGTTATCTCTTCATATCCTGCAATCCAGCCAGATTCACTCAGATAAACTATGAACCTTTTCTCCAAAATCATCTTCAACTGTTTGCTGATAAACACATTCTCATTCTTAGTTGTATTGTGTTCTCCATTACATTTTCATTCAGAACAATTTTATTTGTCTAAACGTGTCCTTGCAATCACACTTTGAATTGAGTACTTACGAGTAGGTGTTGGTACTGGTCAGTGTGGTACTCATTTGTGCTGACTGAAGCAAACTGCTTGTGTATTAGTCGATGTCAAGACTATCATACCGATGCACATTCATGGCTGCAATTAACCTGTGGTCAGTGGATGAATCACGTGACATTAGTAATTGAGTGAACGCTGAAAATGCTTGTTGTATGTATACAAATGGACTGTTCATTTAGAATGTGGCAGCACAAATAATAGGTGTCCTTAGCACAAAGCAATGAAGTATCATGGATTTCAAATATTAAACAAATACTAGAATAGGATTGCCAGGTTGTTCCAGGACACTTCGACAAATTATTCACTTAATTGACATGAAGCTGTGTACAGCATCTGGTCAGTGAAGACTGTGTGTAGTAGCAGAGTGTTGACTTGATGGAGAATATACAGTTAGTATCACGTTTAATGATGAAATGTTGGAGCATACTCCTATGAAATGAATTCTTCCTCAACATCCATTCGGTCAATAATTCAAATCGATGAATACAGAAAGGTATTTGAGTGAACTTCCCCCTGAACTCGTCACTTCAATGTTCACACTTTATTGAATGATTCTTTCCATCTGCAGAGCATCTTTGGAAAATCGTTAGCTGAGAAGTACCATCCCATTCTGTTATGTAGCGTATAATCCTCTATTTTAGGTCTTTTGAACCGAATCGATCAGGCATTATCAAGAGATTAGCTACTCTGCAACCGGTTACATGTGGCTGATGACTTAATTCTGATACTTATGATAAACACTGGCTAGAGGTGGGATGTGCGAAGTGCGTTCATCTTATTCGGGATAGGTGTATCCGCCTCTCAGTAAGTAATAGTGGTCCCAATGAGACTTCTGTCATTCAACCAACACTTCCAATGACTGAATGTTGCTCAATAGGCTATTGAGTCAAGTTAAGCACCATTTGTGCAATCATCATTGTTTATTATCTTATGGCCTTGAATGGGTGTGGGCAATTGACAAGGGTTTCGGTCTCTGGTAGCACTATAACACCAAGATGAAGATACTTGCAGCCTATAAGTATCAAATGAAACGAAAAGTGTTTCTGAACTTCTCTCTTGTCTACTACTATTTTTTTCATCACTTCCAACTAGCGCTCACAGTGTTCACACAGGCTGCCTCACATTTCTAACAGTTAATCATGCATGCATGAGCAGGTGACTGAATGTATTTGAATGATTAGACGTGAGAAAAATACAAAGTTTCGCAGTTAGTAATCGTCTCATTGTCGTCGATAGAGAAATCCACTTACCTCGATCATCACAACAGCAGAAAATAGACCTGGTCCATCAAGATTAGTCATTGATTCATAGGCATATATTTGCTTCTCCAACAAACTTTCCATCATCTCACGTATCTACATTTACACCGACGAAAATTTTCATGTGTGTGATGGAAAATTGAAGAAAATAAATTCACAAAAATTGAAGGAATAACTGAAAATGTTGAATCTATTTTCAAAGTAGCTTCTTAATCTGTATAATATTTGAAACAAGTTAGAAATTTGAAAAGCCAAGGAGGAAGGAATATTCTACAACCAAATATCATGAAATCACTGAGTTTTTCAAAAGTCAACTAGGAACATTGCGGTTGATCAATCATGTCAAAGCTGACAACAGTGACCACTCGTAGAGAATCGTTACACTCTCTATCCATGAAATCTTCTTAAGATGTGGCTAGTGCGAAGTGTAAAATACTCATCACACGACTAATATAATCTGTTTTGCATCAGTAATGTTATGCTGACCACTTCAGTGAAGCTAATGTGCATGAAATCACGTGGCCTCTCGATGAGTTGGTAAAATAATATCACATCATTGTCTTCTTCATGTTGAGTCGCACTCACATTGGCGCATTTCTTAACAGTGTGTGTGTGTGTGTGTGTGTGTGCATTTATATGTAAGTCTGTAGGTTTTGCCACACACCTTGTTGACTCAGTTCTAATAACAAATGTGACAGCAGATTTTGTCATGCATATCTGGTGGCTGTTTATTTCAAGAAAGAGGATTAATACTGAATGACTACACTCAGTCAGATGATTGTATGTTTGGTGGATTGATTTTCATTCATGCAGACTTTAAGAAAGGTCACTGTGTGATTAATGAGTGTGCAAGGCGATAAAGCAATCACAGAAGGTTGAGTTTCACCTCCCAGTAGACAGTTTATTAGAATCGAAAACAATTCAGCATTTTCAGTATCACATGTCTCACGTGACTAGTACCCTGGTCTTTCTTTACTAAGCTTTAAAGTTCCTGGAGATAATATGAAAAATTCACGAGCTTTCATCAAACCTAATAACTAAGTGAATTTCTGAGAGTCACTGTTTGAATCAATTCACTTGATTCCTCATGCAGATGATGGCACACTTGGTTGAAATATGATACTTGGTAATCAAGTATGAGACACCTTAGTTTTCTAATGGATTGCTTTCAAATCAGCAAAATCGTGAGTCGACATCGTTCTACCATATTTCAACAGGAGGTGAGCTTTACTTCTGGAATTATCAATCTTATTTGTGGCACATGGATTCTAACAACTGAGGTTTCTTCACTGAATTCCTTGAATCCCAGCACTTACGAGAGACTTCAGCTCAAACCATGGAAATAACAGTTCAGTGGTAAAACTACTGCACAATCACAGGTAAGAATACCCATCAGTCATCAGTTGTAGGTATCCAAATACTCATGTCTCTACTCACTCATATGGTTAAGTTGTTTAGATAACTTCTTGGTACACTTCTCTACAATAAGTTCACATCTTGTCGCAACCAAGTAAAACGCCTAAACTGATGTGAACAATCTGCATGAAATACTTTCTCGTGAATATCGATTTGATCGGCATACATGGAGGTAATATCTAAAGCATAACATTCTTGTGGTTTAGTCGTTCTCTTGATTGGGAAGGTTACAACTTCCAGTTTGTACAGTGAAGAGAAAGCCAACAATGTTAAACACCCTAAACACTCAGACAATGAAGGTTGTGACATGAGAGAAGTTCATGTTGTTGAAACATACTAACTAAAGATATATCTGCTTATAAGCCTGTAAAGTGGATACACTGCCTACAAATTTATAACTGCAATAGACAATCGGTCAGCAAGTCATCACTATGACTCCTTTGAGAACAGCAATCTTGAACAAAGCAGTTTGGAATTTAAAGTTGTTGTGATTTACAGCTGAGAATGTGAATGATGATAATCTGGTTTTCACTAAGGTGTGATATTTTCTCGTGGATATTTCATCACTAACCTTCATAACACTATCAACACTAGCTTCATACAGAAGTGAAATATATTCAAGTGTTACTCGAATATAAAGACAGTATTTTCGAGAACCCTGAATGCTGTCCACCTGTCAGAATAGACTCAAATTTATATCACACCTTGACTTCTTAAATTTTAAATTTCACTAGATCATACTGTGGAAGAATTTCTCCTAGAGTAGAACTGTGTGTGATATTTGCTGAGAACACTGCTTGACCACTGGTTTGTTTGGTTAACTTCGTCTTGTGTTAATGGGCTACTATTTTCTTGCTGAGTAACTATAACATTGGTCCATATCTATACGTCTCTTGATAGATTTTTCATTTGAATGTGAGGCTTCTACAGATTGTCTTGCATCTTTTTAACTACGCTTTGTAAGAAAGCTGCATTCCTGGAGTCAAGTTTGCTGTTACAATTGTGTAAGCGCATTGAACCTGAGGACGATGCGTCACTTCGCTCTCCTGCCAGTTGGCCTTCATGAATTATTTGAGAAATCTGATGGCAGGCCTGATCACAGCAGTCCCAGACAGAACTTATTTTTGATATTTTCGAATGCATTCTCCGTTTCATTCTTCTGACGTAACGTGTCGAAGTCGCCTCAGTCAATGAATGTTCACAACCGTTTCAATCGACTTGCCTGTCTTGCAGAGTACCCTTCACTTGGCTTCAACACTGCTCATATGGTGTTTCCACCGAACACGAACAATACTACGAAGACACCTGTGATAAAAAACCTGTAATCGCTTCACGTCTTCAAATTCAGCAGCCATGTCTCAAAGCCGTATAACAGGACAGAACAAACTGCAGCGCAGTACACTTTCCTTCGACATGTAGTTGTATATCTCACCAGTTGGCGCCACATGTGAAGCAAGTTGACAGATGCCAAACTGGTCTTTTGTATCCGAGATGAGATTTCGTCAGCAACCAGCCTGTTCAGCAGGCTGATGCCACTCCCCAACTGAGTGAAGTGGTTGATACATTCCATCACTTCACTTCCATCATTAAACTGGAAGTACTTGCAGCAGACAAGTCCTGAAGCATCATTTTACATTTCACAGGTGCAAACCCATGCTGCCCAAACATATTCAGATTTATACTCATTGTGTTTGGAAGACTGTGAATTTTGTCAGCGTCTTCACCAAACAGGGCAACATTGTCTGTATATTCCAAGCAGACCGCATAATGTTCAGGTAGTAAGTCATTCCCTGTAGAATCGGAGGTACCTAAGGTCATATCCATTAATACGCCAGTGGCGAAGCTAAATGCGATCGGTGACAGTGGGCACACCTGGCGAATACCACCAGTTGTCGTCAAGTATGAAGGCAACTCTCCATTAGCCTTGACATGGCTGCTTGGGATGGAGTGGAGAGATTTCAGTAGCCTTATACACTTACTGAGTACTTCCTTCACAGTCAGACACTGACACATTACCTGACGGTCGACAGAGTCAGATGCCGCCATCAGGTTGAGAAATATGGCAAGTGTCAGTCGTTGACCGGTGAGTATAAGTGTTTGAAAGAACTTGTCGGAAGGTGAAAATATGACCGATGCAACCTCGTCCAGCTCTGTCTGAAACCTGCCTACTATTTCTCTCCAGTTTGCTGTTCTTTAGTCTTCCGTAGGCATCAGATACTCATGGAACCTAGGATCTGAAACACAATATTAGTCAAACAGATCCACCTGTGATTGTCACGGGAACATTTCTCTCCTCTTCTGTAGACTGGGATGACCATTGGAGCACACCACTCTGACGGCACTACCTCTGATTCACATGCACTAGGCAGTACCTCCGTCGCACTAATCATCATTTCCTATCCACATCCCTGAAAACATTAGGTGGCAAACTGTCAGGTCCTGCTGCTTCCCATCCTTTCAGGTCCAATAAAGCCTTCTTAACTTCAAGGAGTGTTGAATGACTGACATCTAATTTCCATTCAGGTTCAGACTGAATGTTGGAAAACTGGTGGGTTGATGAGGGCCGGTTGAATTGTGCTTCATAATGTTGTGCCCAACGTTCTAGCCGCCTCTTCTAGGAGGTTATTAGCGTCATACACTTTCTGGCAACGGTTTCACATACCATTGACTACTTCTTGCTGACATCCTCAATAAGCCTAAATGCATGTTGAGTGTTACCAACACTAACATCTCCTCCATCTCTCCCGCTCTCGCCAACTACCAATGCTCATGACTGACACCAAGACTCTTGGTTAATTCACCTTTGAGTTGCTCTCGCTCTTCATCATGGTCAGAGCCAGCTAACTGGGATCAGTCTTCTCGTGTCAATCAGCACAAATTAGCACGTGATGGGAGTCCAAATCGGTACTCGAGAAAGAGCAGTAATCATTCACCGGTCCTCTCCAACGATGGCTACTAGCGATGTGATATGTCTGTGTACATCGTTGGTTTGATGTCGATGGATGCCATGTGAGACAATATCTCTTCTTATGCCTAGAGGTAGTCCTTGTCACAAACAGTTGATTTTAAAAAAGAATAGCAACACAGATCACCGCTGCCGTTTCATTGATATGGTATTCCCTAATTATTCCATATTTCTTCCAATTGATTCAGTTTCCCTACTTGGCATTGAAGTTACTTGCCATTATAACTACAACTGAACATTTCGATCTCTGTAGAAAAGTTGACAGCTTCCAATACAATTCATCCTTTGTGTCATCCGAACTGTGGTCGGTATGTGCGTAGGTGAGGATTAAGAATAAGCATCTAACGGTCTGTTGGTCTGTACTGTTCCTACAGTCCATTAGAACGAACAGCACATGGATGGTTGTTAACTGGTATCCAGTCGAGAAGTGCATCTTGTGATCCTCAGCCCAATGCTAAGCCAACTCCAACAAGCACACGAGAGTTATACGATTGGGTCTCCGGTTGCTCGTTAGGTGAAATTTGCAGAATAATTACTATGGTCAGGTGGGGTTCATTTTATTAACCTTACTCGGGATTTGTATGTGTCTCAAAGACGCAACAAACATATATGGCCAGAGATTCCAGCGTTTTGGCGATCAGTGTTTGGTGTAGAGTGAGTGGCATAGAGTGAGTTCGGACGTTAGCGGTTCTTGCATGCAATCGATAGTGGATATTAGGAACTTGTGATGATGTTTCGATGACTTTGATCGTTAGCAATGCTTGCAGAATTAGAGTTTATGTAAATTGTTTGAGACTCAACAATGGTATCAGTGCGTGAGGCGAAGGAGGAGACACAGTTTAGCAGGATATGTTATCTGTGATTGGATCTTGAATACTAGTGCAAGTGTGTGGGCGGTTGACACTTTCCGGCTGTCTACACCATGGAAAATTAGTCCTTCTGAAGGTATCTGAAAGAGAGCAAAAAGCTTGTGAGACTGCTGATCCCATAAACATGTGCTTGAGGCCTGTCACATATGGTGGGTTGTTGTATTGAGGTTTGGTGTTTGTAACGACGGAAAGAGAAAATGCATACCACCCTTATCAGGAGAACATGAAGTGGAGAGGAGTGTGCAATTTTCGGGGCCGACCTATTCCAACCACCATTTTCTATTGGGAATGCAGCATCAGAGTGGAACTGCCTGTCATTCAATGGAAACAATTCAATCTCGTCGCATTCCATCCAACTAGCAATACGACTTCAACCTCAGAACCCCATCATACTTTAGTCATTAAGAGTGTATCTGCAACTCCTTTTCGTCTTGCCATCATCCAATAGACACCTTCTGGCATGGTAGGACCTTGAGAGAACAAGCGATCAAGCAAGTGCTGCTCGACGAGTGATTGCGATATGCAAGATCCACCACCAATTCTAGGAAGTAGCCATCAGTCGGGCCAGAAACATGATACATGAGTAGTTTCTAGAAGTCGGTACCACCCAACTCAATTGAGCGACACTTTATCCCTAAACTTCCCCTACATAGTCTCATTTTGTACCGACCAACTCAACTGAACTGGTACAGACAGCTTTATTCCTATCACATCGCCAACTGATATCATCCGATGAATTATTCATTGAATCTTCATTTCTTTTCATCTTACTTCTATGCTTTCTATGCTTGTTTCACTGTTTACGAAGAAGGAGACGTCACTGGGAAAGAATCGAACTCACCCCACTCGGATTACTGAACAATAAGCCCAACGTGGCTATGTGACTTATTATGCAAGCTGTCACTGCGATTTCATACTGAAAGGGAAGAGAACAATACATATATCATTGAACAATTTTATGTCAGAATTCCCTTGTAAAGTTGAAAGTACTCTCATGATAACTACAGAGTACATTATGTGAATACATCACTGGAGTTAGTAATTAATTGTCAGCACTTAAACCATTTCTACTGTTCACGAAAAATCTACATTATTCTTTGTACTGATCACTCACATGATACCATGCAAACTTGAACTTTATTATTATCCCCCCCCCTTACTTTTCTATGCCTGTTCATCACTCAACTGACACTCTCAGTATATACTCAACTTGTCACCCACCGTGACTGACATATATATACTGGGTGATGATTTGAGGTGAAACGGAAATTGGGACGGCAGTCAGGTTCGAATCAGCTACCAGTGGGTTTGCATCCCGATGACCAACCAACTGAGCTAATGGTTCCGAATGCTGACCAGAATTTTATTTCACCTTGAATCATCACCCAGTCTGCCAAATCATGACTACCTCAGACAGTCAGAATGATAAGCAGTATGATGCTCCACCTTTCCAATTTAGTTATATTTGGATTTGTATGAAACGTCTTGACTAGGCAGCCAGTGTGAGTACGACTAAACGATAGCAACACGTCATGAATTCACTCAGTGGTCGGGAAAATACTTGGTGATTGAAGTGAAATAAGAATCCGGTCAGCAGTCGGACCTCATAGCTCAGTTGGTAGGGCGTCAGTTAGGAAACCCACTGGTAGCTGGCTCGAACCCGACTGCACTTCAGATTTCCATTTCACTTTCAATCATCATCCAGTGTAAATACTAGTCTGTCAAAGCATGGCTATTTCGGATAGTCAACTTGATATCTACACATGTCAAACTATCACGCAGAACTTTCAACAATCGACTTGTAATTGTAATGGCATATACATTCTAAAATGGATTCACCGTAAATTTGGTTATTACTGTGTTAATGAATGCGGTTTTATAAGTATAGAAGCTGACACGAAATTAGTGGAAAGGATATTCTTCGTTCATATTTGAGTTTTATAGTGATAATAAGTGAAGTTTAGATTCTGGATTCGCATTCACTGAGTGAGTGGGATTCACCTGACTGTATCACCTATTCCACCTAATCAATAGACGCATTTCCTTCAACTTGACACAACAACGATGCGTCTGACTGACATCAAATTAGCAAACTGTTTGCAGTGACAATATCACTTGTGAAAGAGTCTAACATTTCTTATCCATTAGGTGATGGCAGTTTCTGATCAAGTATGCCTCAGTGGATGATTTGGGGAATCTGCTTCGGATGCTTTACATTCACTCATTTTATCACAGAAAATGAACAATCACTAATCGCTTCTCTGCAAACAACTGGAAACTTACTATTAGAAAAAATGTGCTGCTTCGATTGAGGGCGACAAGTACTCCGAAAGCATAGTTGCACATAAACAGGATGGCTATTCCCATCAGTGGTAAGGTGACTGGTCCTTAACAAACAAAGAGAGGAGATAAGATGGTATGCAATTAATGGTAGTATACAACGTGAAAGGTGCATTTCAAATTATCAGAAGTTTAGTCTGTGAATATATATGTATGCCTGTATGTGTGTGGACTGAAGTTGATCAGTGGGTGTTATCAAGCATTGTTTCGAAGTCTGAAGCCTCCAGCTTATCAACCGACCAATGTGGTGATGATATTGTGAGACTAAACTACTCATCGATATCAAACGCTACTAATAGTACACATGGTGTGAACTCGACTACTGGGTGAATTGGCAGTTATCAACTCATTCTCACACCAGTTCCCAAGACAGATCTTCTCTTCACAATGGTAGGCGTGTGAATTATATTTGACTAGACTGTTTGTGTGTGACCTTCTTTGGTAGTCAGATTTTAAAACATAAGACGTATAGTTGAACAGGAAAAAGAAGTTGTGTTGTGACATTCTGATTCCCACTTACGGAATTTAGGTCATCAGACTGAAAAGTGTGAAAGCATTTCAGAGATTCGAATTCACTCCAATTGTACACACAAGGTGGCAAATGGAAATGGAATGGTAAGTATCACAGTTTAGGCAAGGGTATTCTGTTGGATAAGTCTACCTCATCATCATCATCATCATCATCATCATCATCATCATCATCATCATCATCATCATCATCATCATCATCATCATCATCATCATCATCATCATCATCATCATCATCATCATCATCATCATCATCATCATCATCATCATCATCATCATCATCATCATCATCATCATCATCATCATCATCATCATCATCATCATCATCATCATCATCATCATCATCATCATCATCATCATCATCATCATCATCATCATCATCATCATCATCATCATCATCATCATCATCATCATCATCATCATCATCATCATCATCATCATCATCATCATCATCATCATCATCATCATCATCATCATCATCATCATCATCATCATCATCATCATCATCATCATCATCATCATCATCATCATCATCATCATCATCATCATCATCATCATCATCATCATCATCATCATCATCATCATCATCATCATCATCATCATCATCATCATCATCATCATCATCATCATCATCATCATCATCATCATCATCATCATCATCATCATCATCATCATCATCATCATCATCATCATCATCATCATCATCATCATCATCATCATCATCATCATCATCATCATCATCATCATCATCATCATCATCATCATCATCATCATCATCATCATCATCATCATCATCATCATCATCATCATCATCATCATCATCATCATCATCATCATCATCATCATCATCATCATCATCATCATCATCATCATCATCATCATCATCATCATCATCATCATCATCATCATCATCAAGGTTAACCACAAGAGATGTTAATATTTACAAGATGAGGATGAAGGGCACTGGATCATGCTGCATGAACGATATGTATACATAACTTTGTAAATCTTCATAGTTTTTTCCAAGTACAACTTCTACTTGAAGATGATATTGAGAACTGTGTCAATTAAAGCCAGATATTTCTAATTACTGAGTAATGTGAGAATACGAGAATGACCGAAACTTTATTTGATAGTGGACTGGGGTCCTCTCAGCTTCAATATTTTGTCTTGACGGTTTGATCACTAGGCTTGGTGTCACCATCCGCACTAACCCATCAAAGAAGTCTGCTTTATAATTGCTGGTAGAATGATGGCCGATCATTCGGTTACAATGCTTCGACTTGTGTATAGAAAGTACTTACTTTGAGCAGTAATATGGCCTCCGTCTCAGTTGAAACTCTGTACTGGTGACAGTATCATTCAGAATCGCATAATATAGAAGTGGTTCTCATATTTCATAACACTGTTCTCAGCGAACTATCTGTGAGGTCGCAATCAACAAGCATCTTCCACATTGTGATCTATCATCTAATGGTATAGCTTATCCTCATGCATATTTACTCCTCAACGTACCTTGACTGCTGGGTAACAGATAAAAGTAAGAACAACTTCATTTCATTCAACATTTTTGATATAGTACAGAACTGTCAATGTGTAATATTCACTGTGTGCACAATATCTTCAAATGTAGTAGTTATATTGTCTTGATAATGTTAGTAGTATCAGCAATAAGAAAGGACCGACCATCTGTTGTTAGATTACCGTTAGTGTGTTGTTGCTGTAAGGAGGCAGGTGAACGAGTAAGCATGTGTTATTCTGGTGTAAGAAGTTTGTTCAGTTTGCACGACAACCTACAGCTCAGGCAACCCATCCCACGAATAACCAAATGATATGTTGATGAGCAGTAGACAGCCTGCTTTCGTTGACTGTTAACTGGTCCCTTAATTTTATCACTAACTTGCAAACAGATAGGTTTAAAAAGTTATAGATTTGAGCTAGAGTACATCATGAGATTTGAAGATTTATCTGAGTGATAACTCAGCAAATTTAGAAAGAACTTTAGGTATCCTCCACTGCTATTACCGTCGAAAAGGTTGGTGCACTGTTTCCCAGTAAATCTCTTGTGTCAGTTATGGCAATGGAAACTGACATATTGAGTGATAGTCATTGAATATGAAAGGTGAAAGAAGGGTGAATTAGGATACTAAACCCTGGACTACACAGCGTTTCCAGCGTTTCTTATGGACAGCCGTCTTTTCTTATCTATTAGGTGAACAATGTTTATCAAACCACATGATAATGATGACATACAATGAGAGTTGTAATTAAACTGATGAACTGATACACAGTGTGTGGCTGTAAATCGTGCTTTATAGGAAGTATCCAGTGTTCCAAAAACCATATCAGATATGATAATTTTAATTGGACGAAGAAATACACAATGCAAAATGTGAGTACGTGAATTTCATTCAAAGAAATGATTATGCCAACCAACTAGAAGAGGAGAAAAGCTTTCAAAGATGATCAACATAGTGGGAGAGTTGGGGAAATAAACACATTGGCCACTTCTAGAAACCTTATAAATTGTATATCTTTCTTGAGTTGGCGATAGGAGGGCTGTTGATAATAACCATGAGAGCTACTCATTCAAACCATGAAGTTTGAAGAAGATCACAAGACCAGAAGCATAAGACTCAAATGAGAATTTCCACATATTACTTCAAATATAATTTATCCATCTCACATAACAGGTAGGCTTCATCAACTAGGATACTGAGGGTTCCCATGACATGATACCCACTAACCCGAACGAATAACATACGAATACTGATTCAATCTTGTCCCTCTCAACAAGGAAAAAAAAATCCTGAAGTACTTATCAAATATATCGGATATTCAAATTGTAACTGCTTGAGAGGCCTTCGACAGCGTCGACCGATAACTAATTTGGCAACTTCTACGACACTACGGAATACCACAAACCTTTATCAGCCTCGTTCAACAACTATATGAAGACACCACATGCCAGCCAAGTAATTCATCACAATGGGAAGCTCAGTGACGCCTTTGAAGTGAGGTGAAGACAGGAGTAAGACAAGGCTGCCTATTATCATCCATGATATTTCTGATTGTGGTCGACTGAATCCTGCAGCAAACAACTGTGGGGAGTGAGGAGATGGGGATAGGTTACACAGCGGAAAACGACCTAGAAGATTTGAATTTCGCCGATGATTTGTGTCTGATGTCACACAAACTTGAATATCTTCAGGCGAAAACTAACAAGTTGGCGGAAGAGGCAGGACAGGACAGGACAGGACAGGACAGGACAGGGCAGGACAGGACAGGGCAGGGCAGGGCAGGGCAGCGAAGACAGGACTTCAAATGAACGTAACGGTGACGGAAGTGATGATAATACCCAACCAATGCCACCATCAACAACAACAACAAGCTCCAATCACCTTCAATATGAGAAACTTAAACGAAGTAGCCTCTTTCAACTATCCAGGCAGCACCATTTCAACTACACGTGGCATAGGCAAAGACGAGGACATCAAAGCCAGACAGGATCGGAAAAGCCATACGTTCATTAATCTAAAACCAGTGTAGAGATCTACCGCACTCAGCACAAAGCGTGAACAAGATCCAGATTTTCAACACGGATGCCAGTCAAGTCAGTGCTTCTATATGGTTCAGAGACTTGGCGCATCACGAAAAGCATTTCCAACAAACTACAGATATTCATCAACAACTACCTCCTACACTCACAGCATGTTGAAGATCAGATGAGATGGCCAGAAAAAATTAGCAACGAGCAACTCTGGCAAAGAACTAACCAAGAAGCTATCGCTTAACAAATATGCAGTGGAAGAAAGTGGAGATGGATTGGGCATACACTGAGAAGGCCGACTGGGGACATCATGCACCAGTTCAGGCCCTCGAGTGAAACCCAGATGGGAAACGACGAGTTGGGTGTCCGAGGTGAGGGTGACATGGAGGAGACCATGTGAGGAGGAAATGAGAGCTTGTGGGCTGTCGTGGAGCCAGGTTGAAAAGATTTCAGAGAAGAGAGTGGAATGGAGACGTGTGACTGAAGCTGTGTGTTCCACTAGGAACCTAAGGGAAAAATAATGATAGCAGTTGTTCAAGCAGTTAGAAAACAGCGATGTTCTAGAAGCGTAGCAACGAAGCTGAAAGCTCGAGACTGTGATAACTGAACTGTGAATATAGCGAGGTTCGAAATATTTATCAAGTGAGACGGATTGAGAGACATCTTGACTGAACCAATAACTTGATGAAGTATTTTCAAGCTCATCGGGTGGATTACATCTTTTCATCTTTACAAAGATCAACTAGTAAATTCATACAACGCTATAGAAGATCTCAAAGACAATGTAGTCAAATAATGTCTCCTCTGACCAGGAAAAACTTAAACTTAAACAACTTCACCCACTTCTCATGCTTCACTCCGCTTATCTGCTAATCAAATTTGTGCATACTTTATTTGACCATTTACTTCGTCCTTCACTGTTACACAACGTTTATTTTTCCCAGTCTTGACCCACTTTGATCAACGCAGTCTACGTTCTCATGCTAATTTCTTGGTTTTTATCACCATCACCATCCATATTAAAACTAAAAAAGTCAACGATGTAAACAATATGATTTTTGAGGTAGTATTTATTCATGAGGGAATGACAACAGTTGTGGAACTACAGAAAATCAGATGGGACACCGGACGGCTGTTTGGTTGTAGTATGCGACCCCTCAGTGGTACGTGCACATCTACATCAAGATATCAATTTTATTATTCCACTGATTATCAACATCACTATTTTAAACCTGTTATCACATTCACAGACAAATCAACATAATTATTTTAGGTTTCATATCTATTTAGTCAATTATATTGGAGTAAAGTCTGAAGATGATGCAACTGAAAGTCACACTGTTTACTCATATGTCTTGTTCCTGTAAAAAAAAGTATACTAATATATGTTGATTATTGTGAATAATGCAAGGACTCACGTGTGAATTCCCACACTACACGATTAACAGCATCGATTGTTGACGCTTTCTGTAAATCCATCTTTACTTTCAACTTCCTTATTGTCGGCTCTAAAGACTTCGTTGCCAGTTTCGACCAGAATATAACAGCCAAAGATACAAATGCGAATAAGCAGATGAACTGGAAGAGGAGTAAGTGGTGAAGTTGGATTATTATTATTATTTCTCACATATTTGCATTTGTGATTGAGGCGTTAGGCTCTAACGGCTATGATCATACGATTCAAACATGAAGTGAAATGACAGAAAAGTCTAGTGAATAATATTATTCTGATGCATAATGATCTTCTAGTCATTCATTCAAACACTCTACATTTCCTCATTCCGCCTAGTGACAACAGGTGACAGAACAGTTGAAGTGAATCAGTTATGCGAATGCCTCTGTGATATTGTATGTAACGCGAAATCTGTGCTCAGTACCACTTACAGCTCTCTACTTCCAGATTTCTATCTTCATTTCTTCTCACTCCTGTTCGAGATCGAAGACAATACAGTGGCCAGTCACTGCAGACTATCAAACCGATAAGTCGTTAACTCGAAGAGTATGCATCCCTTATTATTTGAAGTTGTCAACCAATGACTTATTGATCTATATTCAGTCGTTTTGAGGAGTAGCAGATGTTGGAGTCGAGCCACTGTGAGATGAATGTGATTTCAGTGAATTGAAAGCCCTTCCCTTAGTGACGGTCAACGCACTGCAGCAGTCCATTCTATACACATAGTATTCCATAGTAGACAACAGTATGCAATATTTCCTAAGGTTGAGTGAAATGCTTGTTCAGAATAACCAATGTGACATTCAGTAAACTTGACTGAGTTAAGAAACATTCAGTCACGCTTCTAGAACATCGCTGTTTTCTAACTGCTTGAACAACTGCTATCATTATTTTTCCCTTAGGTTCCTAGTGGAACACACAGCTTCAGTCACACGTCTCCATTCCACTCTCTTCTCTGAAATCTTTTCAACCTGGCTCCACGACAGCCCACAAGCTCTCATTTCCTCCTCACATGGTCTCCTCCATGTCACCCTCACCTCGGACACCCAACTCGTCGTTTCCCATCTGGGTTTCACTCGAGGGCCTGAACTGGTGCATGATGTCCCCAGTCGGCCTTCTCAGTGTATGCCCAATCCATCTCCACTTTCTTCCACTGCATATTTGTTAAGCGATAGCTTCTTGGTTAGTTCTTTGCCAGAGTTGCTCGTTGCTAATTTTTTCTGGCCATCTCATCTGATCTTCAACATGCTGTGAGTGTAGGAGGTAGTTGTTGATGAATATCTGTAGTTTGTTGGAAATGCTTTTCGTGATGCGCCAAGTCTCTGAACCATATAGAAGCACTGACTTGACTGGCATCCGTGTTGAAAATCTGGATCTTGTTCACGCTTTGTGCTGAGTGCGGTAGATCTCTACACTGGTTTTAGATTAATGAACGTATGGCTTTTCCGATCCTGTCTGGCTTTGATGTCCTCGTCTTTGCCTATGCCACGTGTAGTTGAAATGGTGCTGCCTGGATAGTTGAAAGAGGCTACTTCGTTTAAGTTTCTCATATTGAAGGTGATTGGAGCTTGTTGTTGTTGTTGATGGTGGCATTGGTTGGGTATTATCATCACTTCCGTCACCGTTACGTTCATTTGAAGTCCTGTCTTCGCTGCCCTGCCCTGCCCTGCCCTGTCCTGTCCTGCCCTGTCCTGTCCTGTCCTGTCCTGTCCTGTCCTGCCTCTTCCGCCAACTTGTTAGTTTTCGCCTGAAGATATTCAAGTTTGTGTGACATCAGACACAAATCATCGGCGAAATTCAAATCTTCTAGGTCGTTTTCCGCTGTGTAACCTATCCCCATCTCCTCACTCCCCACAGTTGTTTGCTGCAGGATTCAGTCGACCACAATCAGAAATATCATGGATGATAATAGGCAGCCTTGTCTTACTCCTGTCTTCACCTCACTTCAAAGGCGTCACTGAGCTTCCCATTGTGATGAATTACTTGGCTGGCATGTGGTGTCTTCATATAGTTGTTGAACGAGGCTGATAAAGGTTTGTGGTATTCCGTAGTGTCGTAGAAGTTGCCAAATTACTTATCGGTCGACGCTATCGAAGGCTTTTGCAAGGTCGATGTATTTGAGTTAGAGAGCTGACTGCCATTCTATGTTCTCTTCTATGATGATACGTCCTCTGTCGGTTAGTTTTAATTCAGTTAAGCTATCTCGACACACAACCTTATCATGCGGTCCCATATACACTACTTGATATCAGACTAGCCTGATATTTACCCAATAAACACAAGTTAATAATCCATTCATGTGCACCATCAACCGACACTGAAAGCATCCTGCTGCTTTGCACAAATTTGGATTTTTATTTGTCTTAGTTTAAGTGCAATGGTGATGAGGAAATTTTGAAACGAGCGGTGTTCCGAACATTTTGACTTGACAGTAAGAATTAGTTTGACCGGAGACTACTCAGATAGAATGCCAATCGTAATTATTGGATTGAATGAATATCCTTTAAAACTGCTTTTTAATTCTCTATTCTCAGTCACCATCAAAGTTGAATGATCTACTCTGCGAGGCCGTCACTCATCTTACTGTGACATGCTCAATTGATATTTCAAATGAGAGCAACCAGTTTCATGCTGACTAGTCCCGAATGCTAACAAAACACTAGCAATGTTTTCGCAGTGTAGAAGGAAAGCTAGAATACTCATTATCGTGGTATACTATTGATGGGTGTTAGTTACTCGGAAACAATCAGAATTAAGCCGATCAGTACCTATGTTATATGCTTATTAGCACACGTCAGTAAGATGTATCTGCAGCCTCACTAGAAATGATGTCCTACTGGGACATGTAACACTGCGTGAAGAGAGTTTGGATTTCGGAAGAGTAACAACCCCATCGGGAATGTAGATACGCCCTAAAGACAAGTTACTAAAAGCAAGTAACCTAGGTCTTCGATGGTCTGCCATCGATTGCCTTTAGCTAAATTTCACTGTGCTTCCCTCTTGCTAGGCAACAGATATCAGATGGTAGGAATAGCTTCAATCGCTTTCATGCTTTGTTTACCATTCATATAGCTAAGTCTGCAATCTTAAACAGACGTATGTGTCTGTTAAAACCTAGAGACTACTTCTTGTTTGTAATCCATTCCAAAAGAAGCATCTATGCAGTCTGAGAATAGTAGGGATAGAATTTCAGTACTGAACAATAAGAGTTCACATCCCCCATGAAATTCAGTCCCTCTAGAACACCAGAAAACTCTGGAAATGAGTGTTAGTGAACATCAGGTTCGAGTCGAAGGGCATTTTGACAGCGGACACTTAACCTGAAACAATATGTCAGTAAATCTACTATACACTGATAAATTGAGCACGTATAATTCAGAGTTCTGTATTCTTTGAGCATGAAGTCTTCATCATTCAGTTCATAAAATGTTAGCTGTTAGGTTTTCTCAAAGAATGATTTATGCGCACTCTGATGATAACTTGGAATATGACCAGTTGTTTGCTTCAGAGGTGTGTTCTGTGTGGCAATCAAATGACCTGTTGTTCAGTATATCAGCAACCATCAGAAGATGATACACAACACGCTGTTCCATCTGAGTTCCAGATAATCTTAGATTTATCAACGTTTGATATTTACCAACCTCTTATCCCATGGACAACATGATAGGAAGTCGGCAAAACGGTTAGAGAATAGCATTAGCAATGATTGGCCTAAATCATGTGTTTTGGGCTTTCTGGATAAAATGAGAAGGAACACCTCCCAACATACACCGTTAACCAGTGTTTGGAGAAATCTGGTGGAATGAAGTGTCAATAAGACCTATAATGATGAAGATCCTTGTCGATCATTTCGCTACACACCTTCTCATGAAACATACTGAAACATACACTCTTCATAACAAGCAGGCAAACTCAAGCAAATAGGAGACATGCCTGGAGGAGAAGAACAGCTGCAGATGCTAGACTGACTCACATCATGGAATTATCGTCTTCTCTAACCACTATCTACACAAAATCATTCAACAATCATTTGAGCGATTTCATCATTTCACCAGTCACAGCTATTTCAAAAGAAATGATGTTTCACTTTATAAAATCCATTCAAAAATATAAAACATCTCATCACTTACCAAACAGATTAGATTGAGAAGACGAAAAACGCTGCGCACAGTAGAACGCATCACAATGTTAACTCCTAAAATTTTATACAAAATAAGAAAACATTCATCATTTCAGTCAACATGTTCAACAAATTCGTACGATTTCTCTCAGTGAAGCAATAGACAGTTGATTGAGTTGAATAACAGAGGACCACCTTCACAACCTTTGAAATATAAACTGATGACTATGTCACTTTGCAGTAAATGTAAGTCTTTCAACTGAATCATTTCTCAAGTGTAATCTAATGCTGTAAAACTACACAATATCTACTCTGAGGTCGATGAGAACACAATTTCTGCATATTATACTTCCCTTCCAAGTCGACATATGCAGTTGGAGAGCAAGTGAACTTCACAACTATGTGAAGTGAATGAACAACAAAACTTATTTCCACAATAAATTACTTACTCCACTCAGTGAAATATCTGAATTCAATCTGAAGATGAAGGTATAGTGATTTACATATGGCTGTGTGATATATATTGAGTATTTTCACTGTGACTCATGACAGAAGCTCACAAGATTGGTATATCTCCATCGGTAAGAATATTGAGCACAAAAGTCACCAGAGAATGTCAGCTGCATCATCTTCGATCAAAAGTCCTACTACTAAACATACATTCTCTCGATGTGAAATTCATAAATACATCGAAACTATGTTTCGTCTTTATTTACACTTGTACTCATATACCATTTTGATTGTCTCATCTCATTCTTATTATTTCAATTTATTCTCAAGCTGCTTTTCATTCACTTTTGATTCAACATTTTCTGATTTTCCACATGTTTATTGAACTCACTGTCAAGGATTCATCTTATCGTTGAAATTCCATGTTTCGCTCTTCTTTTCAATCCAACTCTATAGTTCCCTCTCCCACTATGTGTGAGCTGTTAGTGATTCTGACTACGATTTCTAACTACTGGTGTTTGCATTTAGTAATCGCATATTTTCACAACAACTACTTGATTTCTGTCTGTCAATATATCTAAAACATTTTATGTAGTCCTTGTGTTTGATGTATCAAAATATGTTTAAGTCACGTTGTAGCAAAAAATGAATGGTGAGATGAAGTGAGTCTATTCACTCTTGAAAACGTTTTTTCCCCCTTGTTTTATGCTCAGTCACAGGATTGAGGTAATTGGGCACCAGCAAGAGACACTTCATAGATGAATTAAGAAGAACTGATCACAAGTGAGAAATCATTCTTTTCTTTTGGAGGATGTGTATGATGATGGATAAGAGGGTGGAGTCGAGAAGGAGCTGGATCTGATCAAGTATGTGTGCGTGCTGGTACTGCTGAGCATGCAGAAATGCAAATGTGATCATCGAGTCAACAATACCATATGTCTTCGCGCATTATGTATAAAACAAATGGGATGTAGAATTACATTCATCTACAGTGTCTGAGTTAAGCAGCGATACTGGCAACTTCACAGCTGTAATTCTTTACTGTATTCACAACATAACTTCCTTATTAGGTAAATTTTCCACGTCTGTCATGAAGTAATTTGAACCCTAAGTCTCGTTATTGTGCATGTGAATTTTTGAGTACGATTCTCTTCATCGCCAGATTACTACGTATGCATGATAAGCTATTCTCCACGATTTCAATTAAGCAGAGAAATGCTTCTTCCAAACATTCCATAAATATACCTTGCACTGTGGTCAGATACATGATCCCAGAAACAATTCATTCGTTTTTTTTACACAGGATATCGTTGAAAGTTAGAACTGTCCTTACGGAAAGAGTTCTGCTACATAAATCATATGCTTTACTAATAATCATGTTCCATCTTCCGGACAACAATTATTGTCTGTTGCCACCTGAAAGACATCCTTAGCCATTCCATTGACATATTTGTAAGTATCAGTAGAAATATATATCCCACACAAGTAACATAAAAGTTACATGAAGAAACTTACCTGCTGTGGTTTGTGCTCACTATCATTACACCTCACACTCACTTTATTTGTTATTTGAAATTCAGTTAAGTGTTGAAGTGACTAGTTAAAATGGAGAACAATTGGAACAGGCTCACTTTCCTCCAGGGATCACCACTTGGAAGTTCACCAAACATATCTTCCAATAAAAACTGACGGATATTTAACTGAACAAGAAATGCATCACAGTCAGCTATGCATCTCATATCAGAAGTCCATCGACTAAATGCGACAAAATATTATGCAGTGTACAAAACATTCGGTCAGTATCATCCAGCCTCACACTTATAATCCAGTAACCAACCAACCAAAATATTAAGCCGCATCATCCTGGAGAGACTAAAAGATGCTCTGGATTCAAAATTACGGCCAAAACAGGTTGGTTGGCTTCAGGAAGAACAAATCACGTGCGGATCAAATTGAAACGCTACGCATCATCATAGAACAGAGCATAGAATGGCAGTCAACTGTCTACCTCAACTTTATTTACTTTGGAAAGGCCTTTGACAGCGTCGACGAAGAAGTAGTTTGACACTTGCTTTGACACTACGGAATACCAATAATCTTTATCAACCTCATTCAACAGCTATATGAAAACGCCACATGCCAAGTGATCCACAATGGAAAGCTCAGTGACGCCTGTGAAGTAAAGAGAGTGAGAGAAGGCTGTCTACTATCATCCATGATCTTCTTGATTGTGGTCGACTGGATCATGCAGCAGTCCGTGAGGAGCTGTGAGAAGATGGGCAAACGCTGCTTGACCGATGTAAAGAGCCTAGAAGATTTTGATTTCGCCAGCGATGATGAATTATGTCTAATGTCGCACAAACTCGAAAATCTACAGGCTAAAACTAACAAGTTGACACAAGAGGGCATAGCAGCGAAAATGAGATTTCAAGTGAGTGTAGAGAAGACAGAGGTGATGAAGATACCCAACCAACCAACAACAGCATGAACAACAAACACTAATCACCAGAAACAGGGGGAACCTAAGGGAAGTAGTCTGTCTCACCTACCTATCCACCTAGGCAGCATCGTTTCAACTGCAGGCGGCGGCACAAACGAGGATGTGAAAGCCAGGATCGGAAAGACAGCAAGACAGGCTTTCACTAGTCTTAAATCAGTGTAGATCTACTGTTTTCTACTCAGCATGAAGCGTGAACAAGATCCGGATTTTCAACACCAATGCCAGTCAAGTCAGTGCTGCTATATGGTTCAGAAACTTGGAGCATCACGAAAATCATTCCCAACAAACTACAGATATTCATCAACAGCTGCCGTCTACACTCACTCCGTACTGAAGATCAGATGGCCAAAATAATAAGAATAAGCAACAAGGAACCCTTGGAATAAAACAACCAAGAACCTATTACTCAACAAATGTGCAGAAGAAGAAAGTGAGGTGGATTGGATTGTACATACACTGAGAAGGGCATTTTGGAACATCACGCACCAGGCTTGTCCCTCGAGGGGAACCTAAATGTTGAACGACGACATGGGCGTCCAAGTGTGACATGCAGGAGATGGAATGAGGAAGAAATGAAAGATTGTGAGCAGTCATTGTGCTAGGTTGAAAAGACTGCAGAGAACAGAATGGAATGGAGACATGCAACTGAAGACTTATATTACAATACAGAAACCCAAGGGAAAAAACAAAATAGATAATAACCAACTGTAATATAATATATCAGATCAAATGCTCCGAAGGCCATGATCGCTGACTGAATTATTCTGTTGCAAAGTCTACAACTTCAGTAAACAATAAAGTCACTTCGATTATCTCATGAAATATGAATTTCAACAAAGTTCACGGAAGGAAACTTGAGCAGTGAAAACTCTGTTCAAGAACTTGCTTCTATGTGCTACTCAACACAAAACACTGAGTATTCTCAGACTGATAACAATCATGAAAATATTCAACCCGATATATCAAGTTGAAAACTATGAATTTTGGTGAGGATGTGAACACCTTCCCATATTTATGAGGGAACGTCACCTTAGTGTGATAGACTGTAATGTCTGAAATGTTGCCAAACCAGCCTTGAAAATGTCTGCATAAACTAAACCTTAGTTTATTCGTCATGTACTGAAAATTCCTTTCATGAATCTGGATATCTTTGGTTGAGATCAAAACATGCACATGACTAGCTCACTGAAATTCGGACAGAATGCATACGCATGCAGTTGCTGACAGTGAATACACCACATTCATTCATGAGATTTTCATTATCATCATTAATCTATACAGTTGTTCATCCACAACGCTTTGCATATTTTAACACATTGTAAAGAATGTGGATCGTAAGAGGGAGTGATCCATTGTATTTATCTGGGCAATATTTCACAGATGCCTTTGTCAAGAAAGGAAATTTCAGAAAGTGTCCTTCCACCAACACGTTCGTGTCTACTCACACTCATAATCGTAGTATACTTGCACCCATTACCAAAGTCACAGTGAATTTCACGTTTGAAAATCATAAAATGTGAATATGTATTCAAAAGCGTTAACATCAACACAAGTGAAACGTGTCTCTCCTTCGCCATCACTGAATAACACCACGTGAATCAGTCACCATTTGTATGCTACTTACACTTTGGTGATCTGTAGTACCAGTCGAAGACTATCGATTACTCAATACATTGTGGTCACCATGCTCACCAGTGTGATAAACTGCTTCTGCCTCTGCATCCTCAGGTTGCGTGGATGAGGATTCCTCGATGTGTCATTCTGCTCTGACCGTGTTGTGAGCTGCTCAGTGAAGGTTAGCAGCACTATTTGCGAACATTGTGTTCGCCAACTGGAATCGGAAATTACCAGACAGAATGAAGTCGTTTAGACATGTGAGTTCAACTTTCCGAAAGGAAACGACGAGTGAGAAGAATCACAATCGGAGATTTCTCCTTGACACTGACAGATGTCTCACACAAGCATACACACAGACACACACTTCCCGACCTTACCATCTCTTCAGAAAATACAACGACGCATTCTGCAAACATGACTCATTCAATATTTTCATCCTGATTAAGATGAGTGCTGCAATCATAGTAATAGTTCGGCAGCCGTTCCATGAAGCAACACCCCCAACTGATCGGAAAGCCAACCAGTCAGTCTCATAAAGAGCGTCACGCTTCATGTGCGTCAAATAAATTTCACTTTATGGTTAGCATAGTGAAACGACTTAACTACTCTCACCCAACATTGGAATTAACAATGAAAGGAAGCAGAATTTACAATTCCCTCTCTGTCTGACCTACCGATATGATGAAATGATGTTGCACTGAGGAGGCACATGTACAAAAATGCTGACATAGAGTGAACACGTATCAAAATCCTACACCTCACTAACATTAATGGGAAACATGACCCAACTCGTGTTTCACGTTCACCAAAATGGAAAGCTACACTCACAGAATAAACCGAGTAGGAATTAGTTCCTTGGAATTCACCTCTTTGATAAATCGGTATGAAATACTTTTCGTCGAGCAAAATGTGAAGCACGACAACACATTGAGAAACAGCAGTACTGCATCCAAGATGAGCCCTTTACTACACACACTCAAACTCACCACAATTGATCAAGAACAACTTAGCTTCCATCCAAACGACAGATGAAGTACAAGTCGGTTGATCTCAATATCAGTTGACCTGAATTTGAGAATTCGGGTGACTCACGACCAAGTATCTCTCAACTGAATGAAGTACAGTCGACATCTGGTTACTGATGGTATCATGTGTCTGAGTCGGTCAGTAGACTATTAGATGACAGTTAAGATGACAGTATCTGATCCAACATCTCTCACAATCCAAGTTTCACCAAAAGTTACACATCTCCTCTGCAAATTATCACTCTCTCAGTCAACTACTCTGCAAACAATGTGTTAAATAACAGCGACAAAAACTCCATTCCAACCTCACATAACTCTACTCTCTAACAGCAAAAATATGACATACTCCAAAGTTACATAAACCCCAGAAGCTTGGAATCACAATCACTACACCCAACAGTTTTGTCGAATTACACCTAACTGATCTCATCTCCAGCATGAGATGGGATGAGATGAGTTGAAACATCGATGTAGTTCAACAGTGATGTGTACTGTGGAAACCACCTACACAAATATTGCCATAACTCGAGTTTCTGTACAAATTCAATCACATTCACTATACAGAATGAAATTACATTTTACAAAGAGACAATGTTCACAATCTACAACAATTCCGTATATCAAAAACACAAAAGTACGAACACGAACTGGGATTAAGATGACACATCCCACTAGTTATGATCACATAGTTCTTCACACTGCTGCAACTTCATTGTTCTCAGTTATTCAGAAAGTCACTAGTCGATTGGCAGTAATTGTAAAACCACCAACATGGAGTCAATCGAAATGCAGGTGATTTATCAACCCTCAATCTAATCCCCTCAACACAAAATTGTCATCACTAAACTACATAAAATATGCAATTTCATTTAGTTAATACACGAAACTCACAGATTTCATCAACTTTCCACCCACATCAATTCACATCGACAATGTGTTATGCGTTAGGCATTTGATCTACACTTTATCCACTCTGATTCACAACTGCATTACACTGAATGAAAAATCACTTAGAATCTAAAATATTTGCTCTAGTCCCACAATCTAATCACATCTCACTTTCCAATCAGCATGTAATCATTGTTGTCTAAATAAAGTAGAAGTTATTAAATGATAGAGTTCTACTGACAGCATGATTCAAAATGTTGTCATTAAAAGATGCATCCATCTTCACGACTGCTTTGTTTTTGTAATAATCAATTTCATTCCATTAAAAATCTATGATGATCATCTGATCAGAGAAGGCGATGTAGAGATCAGAATGGAAATCAATGAAACATGTGACTGAGTGTGTGTTAGATACTTGTAGATATGTGTGAGCATGTGGTTTATTATACACTGAACTGATGAATTGTTTACCTTGAGGTGTGTTTTACATTTGTCAGCTTTTCTCACT